AATTCCCAGCAACCACATGGTGGCTCACAACCATCTGTAATGAGATCTGGCACCCTCTTAAGGAAGAGACCTGGTAGGTCGTCCTCATCAACTTAGACCATGAAACCCACTATGGACAAGTTCAACACAACCGCCATACACAGGCAGCCCACGCATGCTCCAGCACTGCCAGGGCATAAACTTCAATTTTTTTTCAGATTGTGCAAGATTCCTGTTCTTTTTTTTTTTTTAATTTTTTTAAATATTTATTTCATTTATTATGTATATAATATTCTGTCTGTGTGTATGGCCAGAAGAGGGCACCAGACCCCATTACAGATGGCTGTGAGCCCCCATGTGGTTGCTGGGAACTGAACTCAGGACCTTTGGAAGAGCAGGCAATGCTCTCAACCTCTGAGCCATCTCTCCAGCCCAAGATTCCTGTTCTTTCTTTGCACTGCACACCTGAGGCTCTGGCCCTGATGCCCCATGGTTTGGCTCACCCAGGCTCCTGTCAGCTACCACACGGCCCCATGGTTTGGCTCATCCAGGCTCCCGTCAGCTACTACATGGTCCCATGGTTTGGCTCATCCAGGCTCCCGTCGGCTACACACGGCCCCGCTCACAGGGGCTCACTTACCTCAGACAGGCTGCTCATTTCGATTGCCGTGATCAGATTATTGTTCACAAGGGATTCTATTTCTATAAGCTTCTTATTCTGCACATGCAAAATAAAGACACCTTTGAGTTAAAATTCGGAGTTGGTTATAACGATACCACATTTATGGAGAGCATCAGTATAAGAAGAGTCAGTTTTAAAATGGTTGTCTTTATTCTTGTTTTTTGAGACAATTGTCTCACACTGTAACTCAGACTGGTCTACATAGCAGAGAGTGGTTTTGACTCCATAGCAAGCCTCCTGCTTCGGTGTCCAGACTACTGGGGTTACACCATGAACTCATGGCAAGCCTCCTGCTTCGGCGTCCAGACTACTGGGGTTACACCATGAACTCATGGCAAGCCTCCTGCTTCGGCGTCCAGACTACTGGGGTTACACCATGAACTCATGGCAAGCCTCCTGCTTCGGCGTCCAGACTACTGGGGTTACACCATGCAGTCAGGCCTGGCAACTGTTCTCAGCCGAGCGCACACTGAGCTCCAAGGCTACTGCAGTGAACAGTCAAATCAGCTGTGCACACACGCAGACACACTGTGAACACTTACAACACCAGTCATAAAGATCATTTGCTTTCCCATTTTCTCACTCTTACATATCTCACGGAAAATAACACAGTTGGTCAGGAATAGGAATTTAATCATCACTTTATTACAGTCCATTTTTTCCATTTTAAGCTAATTTCTTCTCATTTTTGACCTAGATACACTAGCTCTCACTGCTGTCTGCCTGTGGTTGGTGGTGGGTGTGTAGCCAGTGATGTGCAAGGCCGGAAGAAGGCAGAGACCCTGTGGGAGCCCCTTCAGTTCACTACAGGAGCTTTGCTCACAATTTAAAAGGCATGGACAGCCAAGTGCTGCTGATTATGGTGTTATGCTGGTTTGCAGAGCACACAGCATGCGTTTAGAATAAGACTTAAGATGTCTATTCTACTGCCAGGAGGTATCTGTCCTTAAGCATGGATTTCCATGGCATGCTGACTTTCAACAGTTCTTTAAGACTGGAATCTAAAAACATCGTTAAAGTTTCTACACGATTTAGCTATGAGGTTCTATTGTAATGCAGAGATTAAAGCAATACAATATCCATACCAAGTTACTTAGCTTGAGGCGAAGAAAGGTATTTTCAAAGTTCAGTTTCTCTACTTCCTTCTGTAATAGCATCTTCTCCGTAGTGACTCTTCGGGAGTTCTCCTTCTCTCCACTCAGAGCCCGGGCTAAGGCTCTGTTGTTGTGCTTTAGAGAGATCTTGAAAATAGAAGAATTGTCTGCAACAATATTTTTTAAAAGTTAATACTGAACTTGTAATTTATATTTCCTTAATAAAACTGCACATTCCTTAGTAAAATAATTTCAGAAAAAAATGCAATTTACTTTATAATATCAAATGATGGTTGGAAAAGAAGGGCAATACACGTATAGTTTCAGAGAAAGAAAATATTCCCCAAGTTAGAAGCTGAAGAAACAAAAGCTAGAGAGAAGCTGAAAAGCAGAGAGGCATGCAGCTGGGCAAGGGAGCGGTGGCTCTGCAGACAGAGCGGTCACGGGGGTCACGGGGACTGTGACTGCCCGCTTCCATCTGGACAAGAAGCAGGCTGGGAGGCTGACCGCACAGTGCTCACTGGAGACCCACAGGAGCTAGGGCAACCAACCTGAATGTTTACACATCTTTCTGTGCTCCACACTCAATAAAATCATCTATGCTCCCAAATCCCTTCTCTTAACCCTCAAATGAAAGGATTGATTTGTCCAGGACCTGTGAGATCTTCACCTCTCCCCAGGATATTATTCCTTTCTAGTAATCTATTGCAATCTAGACTTGACCTCTTTTACTGAACAGAAGTATGTCAGACTAAGTGAAATCAGTACTGAAGTGGGAACAAAGAGATTCAGTGAGGATTTAATGGCTATAGTTACCCTAAAAGTTTATGTCCCACCAGGCAGTGGTGCACGCCTTTAATCCCAGCAGTGGGAGGCAGATCTCTGTGAGTTCAAGGCCAGCCTAGTCTACAAGAGCTAGTTTCAGGACAGAGAAACCGTCTCAAAATAACCACAAAGAAAGAAAAAAAAAAAGAAAAAAGTATTATATCCCTTTAGTATAGTTAAATATAATTAGAATTTAGATTCTACTACATGCCAATAACCTACCTACTCCACAGTATAATACACACAAAGAGTTTGTGAACGGGCCTTGCTATGTAGTCAAAGGCTAGCCTTAAAATTGTGATTCACCTCTGTTAAATATATCTTTTTTAGATATTCAGAGAAGGTCTAGAAATCTTCAGGAAAAGACTCCACAGCAGGACCGTCTATGGCACAGAGTGCCCCACTCGGCCCTCCTTGGCATACCCCAGAGAAACAGACCGCAGCTGCAGGATTTTCAGAGGCTCAGAAAGAATAATAGCTTCTTGCTGTTTTCCAAACAGTCTTGACAAATGAAGGAAGACAGGTCACTAGGGGAGGAAGGCAATTCACAGGATCTTTCTACAGATCCTGATAGGTGTCTGTCATGATTTCAAGATATTTAAGAGTCTTAGGTGTGACATCAGCAGGATATGTCACTATGGAAGGTAGTGTCCGAAGTAGCTAACATGGGTATAAATGACTGAGATAATCTGTCGGAGCAATAAAAGTTTAATTTGGGGAGTTTCCCACCTCCATGGGTTTTTTTTTTTGGGGGGGGTTGTTTGTTTGTTTGCCTTCCTGACACCTTACTGCCGGCACTGATAAAATCTCATTTCCAAAGCCCACAGTGCTGTCTTAGCCTTGGCCTATAGGAAACCACAAACTACCACACTCATCATGGCCAAGAACCTCTAGGTTACTCCCTGCCTGCCACAGCACACGCCAGGCCAAATGTTTACTCTCTTTAGCTCTTCTCCAGAGAAGCCATACTGGTGCTGTCATCGCAGGCTAAGAGGTAGCTGCCTCGGGCGGGACCCCCCAGCCACACAGCTTACAATTCAGCTGTCAGCAAGGGTAAATTAGCTCCCACTCAGCAGAGGAGCTGGAGGCCATGGAAATAGCAAATGGAAAAGGTACCAGCTGACATTTTAGTAGCAAATGAACGAAATCTTCAGAGAGCCAAAGGTAAGTGGAGTTAAAGATGAATGGTGCTTACTTAATATTTTTGTTTTGATTTTTGAAGCAAGAGAAACATTTAACTTTGTCTTTGCAATTCTGTCTTTCACTCGTCTCTTGATTCCTGAAGTAACAGTGGCAGCTTCCATCACTGGGTACTCCATCACTATACGAAAGGAAGAAAGGATGGGGGAGACTATTAGTTAGTTACTGGTTACTAAGAGTAAAATAAGAGCAAACTGATACATTCTAAAGAGAAGCCACCATAACTTAAAATAAACTGTGTACACAAATATTTACAAAATCCTTTGCATAAAACCTGAAAACAGGAATTTATATGATCAGGAGAACTAATAAATTCCAAAAAGGTAAATACTTTGTCTTCCCATTCAAGCTTGTATCGTACACCTGGCAGGCACGAACATGTAGGGGCAGGTGGCAGGTGGCAGGATAGGGTCCCTGCTACCATGGAAGAAATATCCAGCCAGAGACGGGCAAACGTGGAACTTTAGGTAAGAGGGGTTTAACGGGAGCACAAAAGAAATAACTAACACAGGAGCAGAAGAGGGCTGGAGAATGGACGGGAAACTCTAAGCTTAGCCATGCCTACTACATGTATGGTCTACTAGGTTTACAGCATAATAGGAACAGGCGGAGACACAATTACGCAATCTGACAAGAATACTGAAAATCACACAAGATAACAGAGAAGGAGTCAATGCTGCCTGGGCAGAGAAAACGGACCAGAGAGCCCTTCACTGGGGTGCAGGGGTGCTGACCTTTGTGTTTAAATGGGGAAGACCTCCCAAACCTACACTCCCTCCAGGAGCCTTCCTGTGTCCACCTGCTTGTAGCTATAGAAACCTGTCACCTGCCCCAGACTCAGCTGCTCCACTACTACCTGCTTTGAGTCCACAGGACTCTCTCAGTTCACCTTTCACGTCCATCACAAGAATCCCTAGATTCCTGTCATCCTCATCGTCCTCCCTCTAATTCTCCTCCAACTCTGCACATCTTGTAACTGGTCCTACATAGGCCGGAAGACGACAGCCAGGCCCCTGCAATTCTGTCTATGTCGAGTCTGCAGATTTAAGGATTCAGGATGAGATTCTCATTCATCGAGGCAACACCATACCTAAATACCATCCCAAGCATCTTTACAGGGAAGAGCAGAGATTAGAGCCATGCTGTCACAAGCCTTTGCTCAAATGTCACTTTCTTAATGAGCCTTCCATGTTCAGAATACCCCATCGTCCGTCTCTACTGGACACGATGAAAAGACCAAAACTAAGAATAATAGGTTCAGAGGAAAAAGAAGAAACCCAGGTCAAAGGCACAGAAAATATTTTCAACAAAAATCATAGAAGAAAATTTCCCTAACCTAAAGGAGATGCTTATCAAGGTACAAAACACCGGACAGGACCAAAAAATATACAGAACACCAGACAGGACCAGAAAAGAAAGTCCCCTCGTCACATACAGAACAAAGAACGGATATTCAAAGCTGCAAGGGAAGAAGACCAAGTCACATACAAAGGCAGACCTATTAGTCACACTGGACTTCTCAATGGAGACTCTGAATGCCAGCCCAGACTACTATACCCGCAAAACTTTCCATCACTACAGAAGGAAAAAATAAGACATTCCATGAGAAAAACCAAATAAATATATTTCATTTTTACAAATAAATATAGCCCTATATACTAGAAGGAAAACACCCACCTAAAGAGGTTAACAACACCCAAAAGAACACAGGCAATAAATAATCCCAGACCAGAAAATTCAAAACCAAAGATTACTATCCCATAAACAGTAGACTATAAAAAAAACACATAGCCAATAAACTGTCACCCCTAAACACACTCGAAAAGAAACCCAATATTAAAAAATCAGCCGGTTTCCAAATACTCCAGTCAAAAATAAATAAATAAATAAATAGATGCCAGCGGAACTTTCCTTCCCCATCAGCTGATCCTCTTTAACTTCATAAATGTCGCTGTCGCCCATCCAAATGCTTGTGTTTCTACTAGAGTCTCCCTTAACCGCCCAGCCCACCTCCTACATCAGTGACTTCACCAAGCGGCACGAACAGAAGCCAGAAGCAGGCCCCTTGGGGTACGATACAGACACCGAAACATTCCGGGCAACGGTTACGACTCTTTTGGGGGTCCCAGCTCCAAAGCGCAAGGAAATAATGGCTAAGTCCCTCGTAGGTGCTGGGCGAACGGATGTGTGCGGTGCCGACAAGGGGACCGGGCTGCCTGCTCCGCACTCAGGACTCCTCCGTTATCCCCCGGCCACTCTCGTGCAGCCGGGGTCTCCCCTCCCCGAAAACCAGAACCCGCCGCCCGTGCTCCCGGATGAGATCCTCCATCTCATCCCAGACAGCTTCCCAGATCCGAGCCGAGCCGGCCGGACGCTCGAGCCCGCCGGGAGCGCTCGGCGCGCCGGCCCCGGGGCCCAGATCCCGTTCCTCAGGGAAGGCACTGACCTGCAAGCCGGTGGCGGCGGCCGCAGCGGCCTCACCGGCGCCGACTCACCGCCCCTGCAGCCTGGGAGAGCGCCTCACGCCCCGGGAGCTCCGCCGCCCAGCCGACCCGTCCTCCGATTCAAACTCCGCGACGGTTGGCGGCCGACGCCACAGCCAATCGGAGTGCGAGGAGGCGGCGCGGAGGCGCGCTGGTCCCCGGATGTGAAAGCCGGAAGGGGCGGGACGCGCTGCTGCGGAGAGTAAAGTGGGCGTGGCTAGGCGTTGCCGGGCGTGGCTCCCATCGATCCGGTACCCGGAAGGTTGCCAGGCAATCTCTGTCAGGGCTTGGGATCACTCGCCTGCGTCCAGTTTCTGCATCCTTGCCTCCCAGTGGTGATCCTCGCTTCTTGCTCTTGTAATCCTTTCTCATTTTGTGCTTGCAAGAGCGGCGGTGATTCTCTCTTTTAACAGGACCGCGAGACTGGCATTTTAAACTGTCACAGCTATATTTTAAAATGTGTGAGCCTCTTTATTTTCCAAGACAGTTTGGTTCCCTTCACAAATGATTATAGTGCATATGAAGAATTTAGAGAAACTATACAATAACTTTTGCTTTAGTCCATCGTATTAAAAATGCAATAGGGACCTGGAGAGATGGCTCCGAGGTCATGAACATTTGTCGGTCTTGCAAAGGACCCAGTTTGGTTCCCTGCACCCACACGGTGACTCGCAACTCTTTGTAATTCCAGTTCCACGGACTCTATACCCTCTTCTGGCCTCTGCAGATACACATACGGTGCACTTACATATATGCAGGCCAAATATTTATCCACATAAAATAAAATAATAAATCTTTTAAAAAAACTTTTAAATATTAAACTTGTCTTTTAATTGACCATAAAGTAGTCATGTCTTGACATTATTTTTTATCGTTTGAGGACATTTGAGCATTATTATAACTGCATCTTAAAAAGTCTATGAAATGGCAGCTTGCTTTATAAATGCATTTGGGGGAGGGAGATATGTAAACATCTTTTGCTAAAACAGTGAAAACCATTTGACCAAATTTGAGAATAACAGTGAACAAAGGAAGCCTAGATATAAAGAAGAAAACTTTAGATCTTGACATAAATATCACTTAAATGTTTTAGATTGGTTTATGTTCCTCACACATAGTGCTATGCTTCATAATGACAAATTTAGGTATAGCGGACGTTTTGACAGAATTCAACCCCTGTCCCGTCCACTTCCCTTCTTCCCTTTGTGTCTCCCATTCGTTTCCTCCCATCCCCTCGTCCTCCTTATGATTTCATGTTATGTACGTCTGTGTAAACCGTTTTATCATCTATAAAGAATTCTAGTGCCTACAGATGAGAAAAATGTCATATTTGCCTTTCTGACTCGTTTCTTTAATATGTTGATCCCACTTGAATCCCTTTAGGAAAACATAGGGGAAATATTTCAAGATAGCAGCATAGGCAAGAACGTTTTTTGTTTTGTTGTTGTTGTTGTTGTTGTTGTTTTTTCCGAGACAGGGTTTCTCTTTGTCACAGCCCTGGATATCCTAGAACTCTCTTTGTAGACCAGGCTGGCCTCAATCTCTGCCTCGGCCTCCCAAGTGCTGGGATTAAAGGTGTGTGCCACCACACCCTGCTAGGCAAGAACTTTTTAAAAAGGATTCCGGTGTTTTAGGAAGAAGACTAAACGCTGGCAATTGGGACTGTGTTACATTAAAAGGCTTCTGCATGACAAAGGAAGAAATGGAAAATGTATGGATGAAAATCTTTGCTGCATCTTGGGAATGTGCCCAGGTGAAATCCTGGTCCCACACTGGAAATGGGTATCTAAAATAAAAAGCCTCTTCTTCCTAAAATTTATTTATGGTCCTGGTGAATCTCTGAGAAAGCCCAGACCCACAAGACTTTTGATGGTTCATTTTGATTGTTAGCTTGACTGGGTTTGGAATCACCTAGGAGACACACCTCTGGGCCTATTTGTGATGGTGTTTCCCATAAAGACTTACCCGAGGAGGAAACACCCACCCTGAATGTGGTCAGCACCCATACCCTAGCCTGGAATCCTAGGCGGAATGGAAAAGGAAAGAAAGGAGAAGGCGGCAGAATGCCAGCACTGATTTCTCTCGACTTTCTGATTTCAGTTGCAGTGCGATCACTTCCTTCATGCTCCCAACTACTACCTCTTTCTTGCCATAACAGATTCACTGTATAACAGTTTCCTCTGAGATTGAAACCTTGCATCCTGCAGGAAGCTCTTTAAACAGAAAGGCAAGTAATGGGAAGTCCTTGAAACTGACCAGATTCACTACGCCCTCCCTGCCAGAGTAACCAACAGAAGCCGAGTGTTTGAGGGATTTGAGATGCCAAGAAGACAGTGAAGTCAAACGCAAAGAGGATTCTCTGAGAAGAGCTGCAAAGACTGAGACCAGAGCAGCTGCCTGCAACAAGCAGAAACCAGGGGAGCTGCCTTGGTGAGGCTTAAACCAAATGAGGCACCTGGAACGGTTGTTTTTCAGCCTGCTGAGCTGCCTACAGGCTGTGCAGTGAGCTGCAGGTTCCCAGCTCTGTGAGACGTCACCCATGCTGGGGTGGGCTATGGTGATGCAGCTGCCTTTGGGTCATTTCTGCTCCTGTAAGTAACCCCCCACCCATATTTCTGTAAATATCGCAATAAAACTCGCTGGTTTACCCAGCTGGACTTAGGTGGTATCTGTAAGTTGGTCTGTTATGGGTTCCCAGCAGGGGTGAATCAAAATGTGTGTTCCGTCTCCTCCCAGGAAACGCTTTGCCACCCGAGAATGTGTTGCAGAATATGAGGACACCAGGGAAAGACGCCACGGGACAAGCTTCAATTTAAAATATAAGAAACCAGTGTGGCAACAACAGCGTCCATTTCAAATCTGAGGGCTGCTGCAGAAGGGGAAGACAGGCTGGGGTTTTTAAGGCAGTATTGTAGCCCGTGATGTTTTCATATGAGGCTCAATTATTGTTAATCAAATTAACAGCGTTCCCGGTCTAGTTGTGACACTCCCCGAGGGTGGACAGTGCCTTTCCCCCAGTTCTCCTTGATTCCTTCAGCAATTAATTGTCTGCTCTTCTATACCTCAGGCAGAATTCCAGGCAATTAAATTCCGATTGTCTGGAGACACCTACCCACACACCCAAGGAAGCTGGAAGAGATGAAAGTGGGGGAGAGCTTGCTACATGTAAAGAAATCCTCCTTAACAAACCAGCATGACCGAAAGAAAAATCATCGAAGAAAAATGATCTCTGAGAGCCGGAGCCCGGCAAAGGACACTGCAGATCAATAAACCAATAAAACAAAGCAGAAACAGTGTCGTTATTTCATTTAGCCACCTGATCTTATTTGTAGTAGTCTGGGAGGTAGAACTGCTCCGTTACAAATTATGCCTGGCTGACAGAAGCGAAAGATATTGTGTGGTGTAAAGCATCTGTGGAGAAGACAGAGAGGGTGCCTTGGCGAAGGGGCAAGGCTCGCCACAGATTCCCTGCCTTAGTTTTTCCCCTTTGTTGTAGTAAACACTGCAGAAGCAGGCCCAAGAAGGGGGTTTGGCTCACAGTTTGGGGGTACAGTCCACCGCAGTGTGGAAGTCACGAGGGACCAAAGCTTAAGATGAGCGGTCTCATTGCACCCACAGTCAGGACGCCCAGAGAGGGCTCAGCTCAGTTTCTTCTTCTTTTTATTCAATCCAGGACTCCGACCCATGACTGGTGCCACTCACACTGAGGGTGGGTCTTCCTGCCCCAATAAACTCGGTCTACGAACTCGCTCACAGGTAGGGAGAGGCGATTCTGCATCATTTCAAATGGACGATATTAACCGCCACGCATCTAATCCTTGTCAACTCGATACCCAAATGTATCCCTTTTGAGTCATAGCTTCTCCACCTCTCCTCCCCGTAGACTCAAGGCCAGCTCACCATTCAAAGTGCATTCTGCTCGACGTCAAAGTCCTAACTAACAATATACCCACCTCCTCATTGAGGTTAGGGAGTTTTTCTTCTGTGATTTTGTTGAAAATATAATACATATAATGAATTCTTCTACTTGCGATCCTTTTAATATGTCTGCGTGGAGTCCAGTGGGCACACTGATAGGAAACCATGGAGCTGATAGTAGGTAACGGCAAAGTCCTGCCCTGTCATGGATGGCGACCTTATAGAAGCTGCACAGCAGAGTCCCATTGCAATCAGGCTTTTACTTCATATTTCACTAGCATCTCCTAATGTCACTTGAGCTGGGGATGGAGGAATAGCTGAAATCCCCTGCTAAAGGCAATCCGTAACCCCGTTGCCATCACCATGGCTTTGGCGACTAATGTTCTGTTTCGTTCTAGTTGCCATGTTTAATTTTCCATATCGTCCTTGCTCTCACCCAGCTTCAGATAGCCTAGCTTCCTTTCTTGCTACAGATTTCCAAGTTCTTTTGTGCCGCAATGACCTTCCACCCATTCTCTCTCTTCTCGAAAATATTGTCACGGAGTCTCTTCAACACCTCGGCTCTGAACTCGCTCTCATTTTTCAGCTCTCGGCTTAAAGTTCCCCGTATCGGTAAGGGACTCTCCATTTAGGTTTTGGTCTCAACCCAACACCGCCCTGACGCTGCTCCGAGGGAGCTATCACTCCCTGTAACGACTGACGGTCCTTAGTGTCTGTGTCTCCCACAAAGTATGGCATAGAAGCCGCCATTCTGATTTTCTACAGCCCGTGACCCAAGAATCGGTATTACATATTTTAGTGCTACGACAAAACTTGCGCGTCTTGGGGCTGGAGAGATGGCTCAGTGGTTAAGAGCATTGCCTGCTCTTCCAAAGGTCCTGAGTTCAATTCCCGGCAACCACATAGTGGCTCACAACCATCTGTCAGGAAGTCTGGTGCCCTCTTCTGGCCTGCAGACATACACATGGACAGAATATTGTATGCATAATAAATAAATATTTAAAAAAACTTGCGCGTCTTGAAGAGGAATATTTCACGACCTGTACAAGAATAAAACTCGCATCTTATTCCGAGGTACGAAATTTCTAAAGATCTAATAAAAAATATCTCTAGAAACCAACTGCCGCCTTTGACAGTTGTCACAGACTAAATTGAAGAATCCGGAGTGAGAAAAGTTTCTGCAAGCCACGCCCTATGCAAACGACAACACTCAAGTTATAGATTTATGAATGGAGGCACCTTTCCTTTTCCATCAGAGGAGCCGGGGGCGGGGCATGGTGCTTTGGGTCGTGACCTATGCCCTGGGGGCGGGGCTAACCGGGGGCGTGGCCTCCCTCCCTCCTCCCTTCCGGCGCCCTGCGGTTGCACGGGAACGCCGCGCGGAGCGGGCGACGACGGCTCACTTCCGTGTCCGGGCCCGCGGCTTCGGGCGGCTGTGCCGAGGGCCGGGCGGCCGCAGGTCAGTAGGCGGTGGCCGCTCCGCTCCGCCCGCCGGGGTGGAGGCCCCGGGCGCGGGGTGGGTGGCGGGGCTCGGGCCCCGAAGCGTTGGGGGCGTCCCGAAGGAGGCCCGGCCGCTCCGACGCGACGGCGCCTGCGCGGACCGAGGAAGACCCCGGCGGGGCCTGGTGATGCCCGCTCGCCCCCAGCTCGCTCGCTCGCCTTGCCCGGTTTTGTCCGGCTGGGCGCAGGGCCGTGAGCCCTTTGAAGTGTGCTCCTCCGAGTGGAGTCCCCGGCCCGCCGATTCCCCGCCGATCCCCCGCCTCTCAGGCTCTCTGAATCCTGCCGTGGCTGGGGCGTGTGCCTTTTCGGCAGGCATCCTCGACGGTTCTGCGCGGAGGGTCTTCCCACCACAGGAGGCCCCAGGGGGTGCATCTGAGCAGTGCCCTCCCCGGGACCGGCCTTGGGCAGCTGATAGTGAGGGCAGGGCCGAAAGCGGGAGCCCTGGAGGTGGGGTGGACTGTGGGCGCATCCCCTAGGTTCACCCGGCTTCCCTGGGTTATCTCTGGTTCCACGGCTTACCCCCCAGGCAAGTTCGTGTGGCTGCTCCACAAACCAGTGATTCCATTGCCCAGTGTTGTCATCTGTCTGTAGGGACAAGGATTCTTGTGTGATCAAGTCTTTTCTGTGTATTAGGTGATGTCTGTCTAGTTCTCTTCGCAGCGTCTAGTGCACAGTAGGTGTTCAGTAAACGGGATTATCGACAAGGACACTGCCCTTGCCTTCTTGAGTTTAGGGGAGCGGGATGGGGTGGAGAAGAAGAGATTAAACACATGCCATAAAATCTGGGCAAGGATTCTAACTCTGCACAGAAAGACCTTGCAAGAGATAAATGAGACTTATCTAGGAACAGGAAAAATAGGATTGTAGGGAGCAGGTAACTGCGGGCAGCTCCGGGACTTTGAAGCAGCAAGAGGTCGCCTCAGTAAGTGTAGCGTGAATAATCAAAACCCAGAGACAGATATTGGGTTCAACCTGAAGATCAGAGAAGCAAAGCAGCCAACTACCAGAAAGCTCTTAGGTCTTTGTAATCTTCAGACTGAAGGAGCAAATTCTGTCTCATCCCGCCTTATATTCCTCTAGTGCTGGGATTAAAAGCGTGTGTGACCACTGCCTGGCCTGTATGGCCGACTAGTATGTCTGTTTTGCGTTCTGGTCTTCAGGCAAGCTTTGTTTATTAGAATACAAATGAAGCCGTAATCCCAGCACTTGGGAGGCAGAGGCAGGCGGATCTCTGTGAGTTCGAGGCCAACCTGGTCTACAAGAGCTAGTTCCAGGACAGGAACCAAAGCTACAGAGAAACCCTGTCTCGAAAAACCAAAAAATAAATAAATAAATAAATAATAAAATTAAAAAAAAAAAATATATATATATATATATATATATTACAAATGAAATACCACTACGAGTAACTGGTCTTTGGAAGACCGAACCTTGTTGGATTCCTAATGCTTTTTGTCGGTTGGCCTTCCTCAGGCTCTAGTGGTTGGCCTTCCTCAGGCTCTAGTGGTCTCCTTCCATTTTATTGGCATTTGTTGAAGTTGGTGTCTCTGGGAAAGGATTTCAGTTGATCAGTTCATACAACTGAATTGGCATGGATATAGTTGAGTTTGGCAGCCACCTTAAGACTTTCTGTGAAAGTTTAGATACTTCAGATTCTTAATGGAGAGTACATGTTTCCAGTCCATTTCAGATTCTGTAGAGAACCATGGTCATTTGTTAACAATGTTCGGAATGGATAAAGAGATTTATAAAAGAACATCCCCAAAGCGTTGGCCGTTTTGGAATGTAAGAGCCAGATGACTGACAAGCTATCACCTGTAGGTCTAGAGCAGTCTGGCTACCTGTATAAATAGAATTCATTTGTGGACATTCTGTTTATTTTTTGTGTATGTGGGTATTTTGCCTGCATCTGTATCTATCTGTGCGCCATGTGCACACAGTGACTGCAGAGGCCAGACGAGGGCGTCCGATCACTTAGAACTGGAGTTACAGACAGTCCTGAGCCGTATGGTGCTGGGGATTGAACCCAGGTCCTCTGCAAGAAAAACCTCATGATCTCAACCAGGAGCCATGGCGTAAACACACTTCTGATTCCAGTTAATAAAGGATACATTACCTAGTTATATAATTAGCTACAATTTCAGGATCACAGTTATCGGCTGTTCCTTATCTTCAGTGTTTGTCTCAAGTCCCTCAGCGTGTACCTTACGGGAAACTTGTGTCACCGTGTAGAATTCGTCATTTGCTGCGTTTTGAGTTTGTGGCAGATGTTTTTTTCTTTGTGTGACCTAAACTGCTTCTCGGGAGATCTGTGGACCGTTGCTGCCTCCATTTTATATATAAGGGAACAAGAAAATTAAGACAATCGATTGACCCAAGCACCAGAGGTTGTAATTGGTAAAGCCCTGCGGTTCCCTGTTACACGCCGATCTCTTCAGTCTAGATGGTTTTTTCAGCCTTGTTCAAAACCCACGCCAGTGCCAGAGGTCACAGGCATGTCTTGTCTTTACTTTCCATGTGCCTGACTGCCTTATCTTGTATAATCTTTAGTGATTTTATCAACTGTGATTTATAATCGCTGGATATTTATAAATTCTCAGATGCAAATTTCCCCAGCTTACTACATTGTGGATGTCTTTCCTATCACACAAAATAGAATCTGTTTAAACTACATTAAACTATATTTATCTTATCCATTTATTTTCAGCAAGGTCAGTGATATTTGTCCTTTGTTTCTACAGACATCTGGGACGACTGTGATTGTTTCAAAGTGTGTGAGAGCTTCCGTCAAAACTTTAGGCGTCCAAGGGAGCAATGGCAGGCCCCCAAGCAGAAGAGCTGCTAGATATTCTTCGTCTGAACGTGGGCGGCTGCATTTACACGGCCCGGCGGGACTCTCTGTGTCGCTTTAAGGACTCCATGCTGGCATCCATGTTCAGCGGGCGTTTCCCTCTGAAAACAGATGAATCCGGTAAATGTGCAAAGTCAGGAGCATGAGTGTGAATATTCCTCCAAGTGGGGCTCTGTTGTAAAGTCCTTTTCTTAGTTGTGTTAGAACGTATCATATCAGCCCACTAATTACTGAGTTGACTAGGACTGTATGGAGATTCATAGAGAGATTAAATAGCAGTTTCTGAAGTCTGTGGTGCCGCTGCTGCACGGAGACAACCATGACCTAACGATGGGGACGACTGTATTTTGAAAGTTGATGCTTTCCTGCAGCATTCCGGGTGATGGTACTGAGGCTGACCGCACACTAGCTTCTCTCTGTGTTCTTCAGGGAAGACAGCGCGTTTCCCTGGAGAAGCAGCTGTCCTATAGTTGACAGAGCAGCCACCGTAGAGTCAATGCTGGGCTCTGTGATTGGTCCAGCTGTGTGTGCACGTGCGTGGAAGCTGATGTGCGTGGGAGCTGATGTGTGTGGCTGAGACATGAAGCGTCCAGATTGCTGACGGGTCTGCCCGACTGTCTCGGGACTGTCTTCCAGGGGCGTGCGTCATCGACCGCGACGGACAGCTGTTTAAGTACATTCTGGATTATCTCCACGGAGAAGTGCAGCTTCCCTCAGATGCGCAGACCCGAGCCGCCCTGCAGGAAGAGGCCGATTATTTTGGCATCCCTTATCCGTACAGCCTGTCTGACCACTTGGCCAATGAAATGGAGACATATTCTTTAAGGTCAAATATAGAACTTAAAAAGGTCTTGGCATTTTCTCAAGTTTTAAAATACATGTTTATTATGCACAAAGAAGTATATTATTCTGCATAGTTGTGATGTCAAATACCGAGCGTGAGGCAGTTTGTAATCATTTTTGAACACGCTTCTTAATTATTCCTACTCATACTGAGAGTCCAAGATTAATTCTAGGGAAAAAAGCTTTATTATATACCGTACTGAAGATGTAACACTTTTCATTCCTTTAGATAGAACTATTCTTCTGAAATCGTTGTTTTTATTTTGAGGTCGGGTCCTGCTCTGTAGCCCTGGCTGGCCTAGAACTGGCTTTGTAGACCAGACTGGCTTTGAGCTCACAGTCATCCACCTGCCTCTGCTTCCTGAGTGCTGGGATTAAAAGTACACACCACTACACTTGGTTTCTGAAGTTCTTGTTAAATTAGAGAAATAATATCATTAATGAGGGTGTAATGGTATTATTTTATTTACTAAGATAACTTGTTTTTACAAGAATTGTTCTAATAATAAGCTCTTACCTGACTTGTCAGTGTAGCAGTTTGTAAATGAAGCATGCCGAATTCACTTTAAGAGCAGCAAATCTTTCTTAAAAGATGTTTTTACTTTACACCACATTTTAAAGATACTTACATGACTTGAAAGTTTTGTTATCCATGTCCTTTCAATACGTATTGTATTTTTGGCTATTTAGCACGTAAGAAAATTGTTTCTGCTGTCAGTTGTTGATCCTGAAAGTTGCTATGCACTGATTTGAGCTTTAGCTTCCGGTGTCAGCTCAGGACAGACTGACGGACGGTTGGTTATCGGGACTGCAGCACAGAATCCCTTAGGAATTTGCATGGGTGTATGAATTCTGCTATTGAGGTTTCGGACTTTTAATTGTCAAGTGATAGTCTTGATAACGCTACTTACCAAACTAGAGAATGGGGTAGAAAAGCCCTGCAGGAAGATTAGAGCGGGTTAGCATTCATCTTCTGAATCCCAGCTCTGTAGTCCTCGGCTCCTGATTCGTATTAAAAAGGATAAAGTGTACCTGCATTTATTCCAGCATCAGGCTCATTTATTTCAAATGTTGTGGCGTGCATGGCGTTGCACAGGGGCTGTGTGGAGTACCAAGAAATGGAGTCCAGTTCTCGCCCTAGAACAGTTCACAGTGTAGTCTGGGGTTCACATAGGTGCTCACATAGTGGTAAAGATCAGTGTTTAGCCGTATTCAATGAAAGCGCCAGCCGCCCGTGAGGAGTAGGTGTCATCTTCCTGCCGCCTGCTCTCCCTGACCCGAAGGATCTGTCAGTGGACTCAGCAGACAGTGCAGATGAATGAGTGACATCAGCGTGTGAATGCCGGATGAGTTCAGACCCTGCTGGGCCGCACCATAGCAGCCCTGCAGTGTAGAAGGACAAGTTAATCTGGTTATCCGTAGTTGGAATTTGGAGTGGGAATAAGGACCAGTCGTGGGGCCAGCTAATAGAAAGAAAAACGGAGGCTAAGTGAGAAGTTTGAGAAGGCGTTCTAATAAGGAAGGTGGAGAACTGACTTTAGTTACTATATGAAGACTAAAATCAAAAGTGATGCTGGCAAGTCAAAAGAAGAGATAGAAGAGAAGCTCTCTGGATAAGTATTCTCTCTAAAGAGTTGTGGAGATTTTTGTTGTTACAAAGAAAAAAAAAAAACCTCCCTTCAATTAATTCATTACCTTTATGTTTATAGACTAAGTCAGAATTGATGGTCTTTTTATTTCCCTTTATGACCAGCTCAAATTTTAGCTTTACATGTAAGTAATAACAGCACATTTATCTCGTGTTCCATAATTAAATCTCAGTTTGTATACATATTTGCTTTAGGCTTTGACAGACTTCTGTGACTCGTACGGCGTAGTCTGTAGTAAGCCGACAGTCTGGGTTCTCCACTATCTTAGCACATCTGGTGCCAGCTGTGAGAGCAGGATTACCGGTGTCTATGCCACAAAGGCCGACGGGACCGACGCCATGGATAAGCAGCTGGGTGGAAGGATGCACAGCAAAAGCATCTTCAAAAGGTGCGTTCCGATCCAGGGTGCTAGAGAGCGAGGGCAGGCCTGACATCTCTTAGCCATTCTAGGAGTCGTCACTGTGTGAAAGACTGCGCCCGACTCAGGGCATCCGGAGCTTCTCAGTCACTCAGCCCCCATGCCGGGTCTTCAGAGTGAACAGAAGAGCCACACACTAGTGTCTCCCCACAGTGTGGGCAGAGCGCCAGCCTGGAGTCCATGCCCACTGCTGACCCAGGGTCAGGGCTAAGCTGCCATGGCTTGGACGTGTTATATTCTTACAGGTTGTCCTCTTACTATGTCCCTGTAGTATTACTGCACCAGGAAAGTCACTTAACGTATTTTCTGTCGTCTTCATGCTCTGTGGGAGAGTGAAGTTGGTCATGCTCGTCACTAACTTGTAGCCGTGTGAGCTTGCTTTCTGAATCCTTTCCGGGCAGTAGTGTTTCTGCGTCAGACACCCGAACACCTGCCTGATGGAAGGAAATGGCAGCACAGTTGGATCTTTTCTAATTAGAGTAGCGGGTTTTGTTTTGTTGCCCTTTTGTTTGTTTTTGAGACAAATTCTCACTATATAGCCTTGGTGGCCTGGAATGCCTGCCTCTGCCTTCTAAGTGCTGGGATTAAAGACATGAGCTACTATGCGTGTGTGTGTGTGTGTGTGTGTGTGTGTGTATTTTAAAAATATATTGAGATGAGAGTTATGAGTGCACACTTGAAGCTTAGGGTCACAGAGGAACAACATGGTGCCTAGATGTTTTGTAACTTGCTTATCAAGTATTTGTTGAGCATATGTTAGCTGGATATAAACAGACACATCCATACATAAATAGTAGATTTTCATATCATTTTTGAATGTTCCTAGAGAGGCGGGAAATAATGTTCAGTACATTTGGAGCTATTACTCAGTAGCCGAGCTGAAGAAAATGATGGATGCCTTTGACACCTGGGAAGGAAAAGGTACAGTGCAGTTCTTCCGTTTCATGGCCTCCAGCCCGTGGCCTGCCCTCCCCTCGCTCTTCCTCCGGCCCTTCTCTTCCAGGGTGTCAGCTGTCTGTCATAAGGGGATAGATGTCAAGGAGCCTGCTTTCCAGTCTTCATACCCACCATGAGGCGCTAGATGTTGTCACCTGTCCATACATAGCTCAGTGACTTCAAGGATGGCTCTCTGAGTGTCCCTGCTTAGTCAGAGTTTACATAGACCTGCGGTGTAGCTGGCAGTGCTCTAAGAATTGCTTCTGACCTGAGCATAAGGTGTAAGCCAAGGAGTCTGCTTAGCAGGCAACGGTGCTTTTCATCCTAGAAGGCACGAGGTGGAAGGAAGGAACTGACTCCTGGACCTTGTCCTCTGACCCGGTGGAGACTGCGCCATGTCCATGTCCATGTTCACACAAAGTAAAATACATATGAAAAAAAGGAGAACAAGCCGGGCGGTGGTGGCGCACGCCTTTAATCCCAGCACTCGGGAGGCAGAGACAGGCGGATCTCTGTGAGTTCGAGGCCAGCCTGGTCTACAAGAGCTAGTTCCAGGACAGGAACCAAAAGCTACGGAGAAACCCTGTCTCGAAAAATCAAAAAAAAAAAAAAAAAAAAAAAAAGGAGAACAAATGGACAAAGAGTGGAATTGACTGGACGCATGCCTCACTCCTGAGCACTGAGGAGGCTGAGTGCTTAACATGTTCTAAGGACTTCATGGCTATTAACTTAAGACCACAGCAGCCATGCAGGGTGCATGCTGTGACAATTAGCATTTCACCAAGGAAACGAAACTTAGGATGAGAAAGTAACTTTCCCAAGGTCACATTAGTAAGTGACAGTGGGATTTAGACACAGGGTCAGAGCCACTACCCTTAAAGCCAGCGTACACTCAGTCACTTTCTAGGAGGCAGCGCAGAGCCCTGGCTTGCAGCCAGCGCACGAGCTGTCTCCCTCTGCCGTCCTGGGGCCACTAGTGAGCTCCTGTTCATGCTGTGAGCACCTGCATCCATCACCTGACAGGAACAAGCTACAGATGGTTGCTGTGCAGTCTTGGATGGCTAGTGTTCACCCATGGCTCTTAATTCTCTTTTTATCTTGAAGGTGTAAGCTACTGGCGTGTGCCTCACGAGCTGATAGAGTGCTGGACTCTGGAAGAGCAGCCGTTGCATGGAAGCCTGCGTCATATGGCCCCCATCCGAAAGAGGTTATCTGTGATTCTGTTGTGTTTTTAAAGCTGTAGCTGCTAAGATTTGCCACCGTGGAAATAACTCTTGACTTCACTAAGCTGATTAATCACCTGCGCGGGTGTTATACATGTCAGTGAAGTAAAGTTACCACCACTGTGGAGAAGTAGGGGCTCTCCTCGAGTTGTGATGTGCCTTATGCTCTTGTTGGAGAAGGCGGCTGTAAGAGCTGTGCTGACCCTGGGGCTGCTGTCTCCCCACAGATGTGAAATTGGGCTTCATTGGCAGTAGTGAAGAGTCTTTAGTCTTGACACTTGAAATCTCCTGTGGCATCTTGTACGTGGAGGCCAGGGATAAAGGCGCATACCCTACTGGCAGTGTCCCCCAAAGAAGTATTTTGCTCTAATGGTGATTGTACCTTCGTGGAGAGTCTAGTTACATAGACAGCGGAGCAGGGGGAATGGCTGATGGTGACCTCCCTCTTTGTCAGTGATCTTTCCTCTGGGATTTTAGGAAGCATTGTTGATGGTAGACAAGACAGTGAAAGCCATGTATTCCTTTGTTCAGTGAGGTTTTAAAGTTGAGTGTAGTAGCATATTAAGCTATATATGGAAATTTTCATAAAACCTGACTTCGATTCTGTTTCCAAGGACAAGTGTTCGCCATGTTGTAGTTGCCTCTAGCCCCCAGACCGTGGAGAGGAAGTGCTCCGGGAGGCCCCTGCTCCCTGTGTGTTCAGACGTGTCTCAGGACAGAACAGGCAGGACGGTCAGGAATTTTAAGGTCCATTCTGGCAGTGCTTTCCCTGTAGGCTGTTTATAATGAATGGTTGATTGAGTTCAGGACTCTCTGGGTAATGTGTTCAATACTTTTCATATTCAAAAATACCTAGCTTCAGAGTGGGCTTGACTGTCATAGCAGGACCCAAGTGTGCCCCGTGGCACACAGGCTCTGTGGGTGTCAGGACAACGGTGGCCGGCAAACACAGCCGTACCATTTAGTAGCCCCTTTCCTGAGACCCTGCCGGCCTCTCTGTGTCACAAGGGCTGCAGACCCCCTTTGTCATTAAGCGTGTAAATTCTGAAGTTCTTGGAAAAAAGCACTGCCTATTCTCAGTTACTCTGTGGGTCCCGGCAGAGCCCTTGGGAACAGAGTGGTGTGTGGTCTGGTTCCTGTCCAGGGCTCCAGACTCTCCCTGGTGGAAATACTGTAAGCCACAGTTTGTAAAGCCACGGAAGCAGTCTCTAGTGAACGTGTTCCCCTTCAGTTGTCCTCTGTGGGAGTGAGCGAGGAGGCGGCTTGCTGTCTGTAAACTTATGCCTCTTCTTGGTAACCCTGAATGTGAACTCTGGAGACTTGCTCTTTAGTGCTCCCCAAAGCGGAAGTGCTGAAATGGATGCTTCTGTGTTTCCAGGCGGCTGCTAACCCTCGGTGAGGAGGATGAAGGTCTGAACTGCAAGGCTGGTCCTACGCCGGTCAGATTTCTGGGCCCTTCCACAAGCACCCAAATTAAAGTCAAGAACTCTGCTTCTGTGAGAGTGTCGCCTGTCCGTGCTGCCCAGATCTCCTCTCAGGCCACAGCAAACTGGTCTCGAAGAGGCAGCTATGGAAAGGCCCCTGTGGCCACTGGGGCATCTGGGCATGCTCCTGCTTCCCCTCACTCCCAGAATGCTGAGAACCCAGCCACACAGCCACCGCCTGCCAAGGTGCTCCTCTCTGACAAGAAGTCTCTGCCGCACCGAGTGATCAAGCTGAGGAGGACTCCACTGTGTCTGGGGCCTTCCCCGCCCACCCCCTCAGCAGGGAGCCAGGGCAGCTCCCCACAGCAGCCTTCTCCAGAGGTGTCCATCACTTCGGTTGTGCGGACTGAGACCAGGGAAGATCAGCCTGATGGGTAAAGTGGACTGAAAACTGCGCGGCTTCCCGTACACCGGTTCCAGCAAGTGCGCTCTGTTCCTGGCAGCAGAAGCGAAACCCAAGTGGATGTTTAGGGTGTTTACAGGGAAAATGAGTTCCATGACGTGGGGTAGAGGAAGAGACTTGGCGGTTGTGGGATTACTTCCTTTGCGTTTTCCTAAGGTTGTCTGTGTGCAGTTTGGTTTCTAGCTTTTAATGTAAGCTTTATTTAGATGGTTAATTGATGTCAAGGTGACCGAGCAGTGTTCACTGGAAACATCTCCCCTTTTGCAGTAATACTACAGGTTGTCTGGCCACTCTTAGGATGTTACTCCTGTAGCCCAACGGTGGGAGTGAGGCCTGGCATAGGTTCCTGTCAGATGGAGGGCACCAGTGCTGGCCACACTGTATGGCAGCTGGGCGCGTCTCCGCGGCAGTGTGCAGCTACAAGCTGCTTATTCTTCAAATACAGCCTGAGAGCAGTGAAGGGGAGAGGAAATAACACAGTTACAGACCAGACTTGGGCTCTCACTTGATCGGGCCATTCTCTTTCCAGATGTCTTCAGGCACACCCAGTGCGTGTGGTAGGAGCTGCAGAATGGGTTCTGGGATGGTTCAGATTTTGGTTTCAATAGTCACGTTTCAAAGTGCTTTGGAAAAGAGAAGTTGAGCAAGTTTAACTTTTTAACTCAAGTTAATTTGTTCTTAGAAGTGACCATTGAAGAGTCCTTTGGTTTATACACTATGTTTTATGCACAGTTTCCATATGACTTGAATTTCATAGTTTTGAACAAAATATTTTGATTAATCCTCTATTTTTTTCATAAACATTGAATTGTGTGTGTTTACTCTTACACATTGTTTGGTAACGGGATCGTCAGTTTCTACTTTTCATGGACTCTGTGCTTCAGTGGTTAAAGATGGTTCTAGAGCACTGTGCTCCTTACTTGGGTCCTGGGCACACACTTGGATTGCTCTGGAAGAGTGAGACAGGCATATGTGTAATGTTTCTTTTAAATAAATAAAATGTTTCCACAAAACCGTGACATTTTTCATGACAACTTATTTAAACTCGGCTCCCTGCAATAGTGTAAGAGCTTACTAATTTATGTAGGTTTTCTCTTCGTGTTTCCAAAATTACTTTCTTGTCTTGCTAATCCACGAAATAATAAAGCCAACTTTGTTTTTTTTTTGTTTTTTTTGTTTTTTTTGTTTTTGTTTTATAAGCTCAATGTCCTTTATTTAAGGCTAGAAACCAAATATGAGTGAGTACATCCCATGGTCCTCTTTTTGGGTCTGGCTTACCTCACCAGGAGACCATCCTACGTATAACCCCAGCAGCACAGACACTAAGGGCATCATTGAATAAATGGGACCTCCTGAGGCTGAGAAGCTTCTGTAAAGCAAAGGACACTGTCACTAAGACAAAAAGGCAACCCACTGACTGGGAGAAGATCTTCACCAACCCCGCAACTGACAAAGGTTTGATCTCCAAAATATATAAAGAACTAAAGCCAACTTTGAATAAATATCTGCTGGTCCCTTTCTCAGAAGATGGTTTAGCCGAGTAGAAAGGCTTTTAATTGAAGATCCATAATGACATTCTGGAATATTAAACTGTTTAATCACCTTTAAAAACTGCTATTTTAGAGAACTCAATCAACTTGACAATTAAAGATGAATGCATTCTTGGGACAATTGAATGGACACTGTCCATTCTTTGGACATTGCACTTGTTACCTGACCTAGGATATTCTGAATGGCTAACTCACACACATAACCAGGAAAGGGAACTTGTGAAGATGGATCATGGGCGAATCCGTCAATAGCCTCCCTGTCTCACAGCAGGTAATCTGAGGACATGGCTGCATACAGCACACCTAGCCTTTGTCAGAACACACGAGGGCCGTGGGTGAAGGATGCACTAGACAGGAGAGACGGCTCGGCAGGTAACGGCACCGCCACCACCAAGGCCGATCACCTCCCTCAACCCACAGGGTAGGAGAGAACCTGCTTCCACAAGTTGCTCTTTGACCTTCACACAGAAGTGGGTGTCGTCCCCTCCACTATTATTTAGAAAAGGAAATAATGGTAAGACTGCATTTGGGGCTGGTCCTAGGTAGCAGGGGTGGGGCACGTGAGTAGATCCACCGATCCAAACAATTAAGGCCAAGTTCAGAAAACTCGAGTGTCAGAGAGTATTGCTTGAGAACAGTTCCCTGGATGTTGCCTTTACCTTTTGTGGGAAAAAAAAGTTAAAAAAAAAATGTTTTACTTCTTCTTTGTCCTTACAACGCTTTATTTAAGCCTCTGCAAACAAGAGTAGGCAGCGCACCAGAAGTCAGTGCTTTCCTGGATTGGAAGAAGGAAAAAAGTGAAAAGGAAAAGTGTGTAGTTTGAAAAGTCGTTTCCTGTGTCTGTGTCAGGAGGCAGTGACTTTAGTCATGAAGATGTGCGGGCATTATTAATCTGAAGAAAAATGTGCCCATCCAGGACTCCTTGTTGGAAACTGGTTGGTCCTGGTCAAGTCCGGTTTCTCGTGAAGTGAAAAGCTGGAGGCTGACCTAACAATGGATTTTTTTTTTTTGGTTGTGTTGACACGTACTCTAGATCACAGAGTATTTTCCTATGTTTTGTTTACTTTCTTTCAGTTTCAGAACAGCATCAGCATTAAGGAAGTCTTTTCTAGTTCTTAAAGATCCAGAGAACGAGGTTGAGAAAGTTAATCCTGAACAGGAATGAGCACACTCCATCATCCCAGCCCTGGCGTCTTCTTGCCAGAGGGAGGACATGGGTGTAAAGCTTGGGAAATTGATCTGCAGCGGGCAAGACTTTTTGTAGGACTGTACTGAAGTAGGATCGTCCGTCTTGAGGTCTCTTCTGTAGTTGTGGTGTCCGGTACCCAGGGGGCCAGTAGCACATTTCCACACAGTTGGAGGCAGCCGTGGATCAGAACATCTGACACCTTCAGGGATACAGGAGCGGATTTCTGACGGACCCTGCAAGGTTCCTGCTATCTGGAGAAGGAGGGATGTGCTAATGATCAGTTGCCATTAGCAACCACAGTCCGAGTGATAGTTCTGGTGAAGTCATCACAGTAGTTCAGAGACACACAGCTCCCAGGGCTGGAGTAGGTGGGGCCACGGCTTCCTAACCTTGGCCTGTCTCTCCTAGTACCTCCTTAGCAAGTTTATCCACTCAACCTGTGTCTGGTTAAATGTGTTGCAACTGTCTTGATCTCTAAAGAAGGGATTGACTCACAAGCATATTTAACTTGGCCTGAGAAATCTTTTGATGTAGCATTTTGAATATATACGAAGTCCTGTGGTGGTAAAGTATTCCCTAAAAGCTAACATCATGAATGGGCGGTTGTCTTATAGAAGACTGTGTTACACCTTCAGCTCCTTTGAATAGGCTTACTCCACACTGGTACTGATGTTGGTTAAATACTGAATTGAAAGCGTGAACGTGATGACAGAAGGGGCTTCTACTTCAGCAAAAGTGTGTTGTAAACTCACTAGGACCCTTTCAGCTACAGTGAACACTGTCCCTCCTCTCGTGTGGAAACTCTCCCTCGCAAACAGTCAATGGGTTGCCATTTCCCCAGCCAGTGAAGGGTGGACGGGTGACACTTGGTTCTGACTGTAGTACAGCCAGGGAAAGAAACATCATGAATAGCTAACAGGGGAAAAAAAATATTGGTTTTCAGCTGTTCTTAGAATTACGAATTCACAGAAGCTGACTGGTGGTGAGGCCTCGAAGGAGCCGTTTCACGTTGCTCCTGTCAGCCTCATGAAATACACATGGTTTACATTGTTACAGAGAAGCTAATTTTTCTTTTTTCGGGTTTCTGTAGACAGCCCCTACACATTTCATATTCGCTAGCTAGATCGCTTCTGCTGCTGGCTGTGGCTAAGACGAATAGAATTTTACAGTGACTGCCAGTCCGGATTTCTGCCCTACTTTTTTATTTTACAGGTTTTCCTTCTATAAGGCTCCTTTTTAGACTTTATGCTGGCTTCTTCCACCCCAAAGCCCTCATTATTTTAGTAAAATTCTTCTGAGCTCCAGGTATGAATTTGGGGGGCGCTGGAGCTTAGAAAAGAGAAACTGGTTTCAAAAGCAAAGAACGAACTTGCTCAAGTTGGAAAAAGGCAAAAGTCACTTTTTTCTGTCAAGGTTTCTTAAAAATTCAGACATTCCTAGCTCAATTACAGATCTTTCAAGAATTCGCCACCTAATTTCTTTATTTGGAAAACTTGGGAACTCAGCTTGAGTGTTGACAACATGGACAGTTTAAGGACATCAGAAGCCACACATCCGGACCAGGGATGTTGGTCAGCAGAGTAATGAGTTGGAGCCAGTAGAGAATGCAGCCACCTGACGTCCAGGTACCCCGTGGTCTCCGTCTGTGGGGTCATCTCTTTCTCCAATCCCTAGTATCTATCCTCTTTCTTTTGCTGGGACAGGGGACCAGAGAGACTCAGTATTTCTAAGGAAGACTTCTTATAGTTCTGGAAGCTAGGAAGTCGAAGATTGAGGAGCCCACAGGCCTTTCCTGCTCCATCACATGTTGTAGCAGAAGGGCAGAAGGGAATGAGAACACAATACTAAACGAAAAGCCCCTAGGCCCTTTGTATTGACATTAGCTCACACTCATGAGTGTGGAACGTTTGTCAACTAAATGCTTTCCCTTAGGCCTTGCCTCTCGGTGTGGTTGCGTTTGGGATAAATGCATGATCTGGAGGTGACAAACAGCACGGAGCCCTTCTGGATCCCGCAGAGTGATCTAGTGGCCTTGGTGACATCTTGGTCTAGCTTGTACGCTGCACTGGAGGGTGTCTGGTGGCACCCAGTCAGCGATCAAAATTACCCAGATGCCTTCTGCAAGTGGCGGGGGTCACTTGGCCCAGTTGAGAGCCATTGCTCTTGCGGGGTGACTCAACCTGAGCAAACGATGCCTTCTTATTAGGGGGTATAGGCGAGTGAGAGAACATTGGGGCTGGGAGGGGCAGGCAGGGGTAGCACTAAGAGGGAGGACGCCAACAAAAAAATGACAAAGAATGCCAACCAATGAAGAATTCTCTCCTTTGAGTTCCCAATTACATTTCTGGCTTTATTAATAGTGTTAGGTAGAAGTGCATATTCTTTGAGACAGGGTCTCGCGTAACCCCGGCTGGTCTCGAACTTGCTAGGCAGCTGGGGATGACTTTGAATTCCAGGTCCTCTTTCCTCTACCTTCCAAGTGGGAGGATGATTGCAGTTATTTACCATCATGCCACGTTCCCTGTTAGAAACATTTTGTTTATTATCTGATCAAGCCTTTACCTAATAAGGACTAAGCTCTAGGGCCCCAGCAGTCACTACTGTTTCCTAACCGTAGTTGCTGGGCAATCAGTAGCCTCACGCTCCTGCTGCCATGGTGCCCTCATCACGATGGTCTGCACCCTCAAATCATGAGCCGGAATAAATCCTTCCCCTCTTAAGTCACCAGTCATAGTAACAGAGAAGCAACTAACAGGGAATATTGGGACCAAAGCGCGGGGCAATTAATGTAATACACCTGATTCTGATTCGTAGGCCTTTGGGGCTTGAGCATGGGAGAAACAGAAGTGTTTAGAGCTGCAGGCTAGAGGAGTTCTAGCATTGTCCTGAGTCTAACTCAAAGTTGAGTTCTCAGGTTAAAAATAGGATGGTTTATTTTACCCCTTGACAAGAACTATGTTTAACAGTTTTCAGTAGCTCTTTGGGCCTTGTTGAGTCACAGTTCTGGGTTTTGTGTGTGTGTTGAAGTTTGCTAACCGCCCCCCCCCCCCAATAAATAAATTTCCTTTTGAACTGCGTTTTATGGAAGCGTGTGGCGACTTCTCCTGTGAAACATGAACCTAGTGGAAGCGCCCGGAGCTTTTCTGGGCATTGGGAAGGGACAGTCCTCAGATAGAGGGGCCTCTGGAAATGAAGCCTGAAGTACGTTTGAGAAGCCTGTGTGACGAAGTGGCTGAGAACCACGGTTCTCATCTATAATAGCTAGGTTCAGAA